AAAATATGGGAAAGATATCAGAAATAGTCCAAAAAACTGACAAAAGTGCCTGCCAATTTTTTGAGAGACCCTCTGAGGCATTCTGATAATGCACTCCATTTAATCCTGAGGCTGCAGAGAGTCAGCACTTGGTCAATGCAGCCTGTTTGTGGGACAGGCTCTGGGAGACATCAGGCAAAAAATCCAGAAACTAGAGGGTTTTGCTAGCATAAATGCGACAGCTTTTACAGGCGACCACTAGGGTACATTAATGAGAACCAGGAGGTGAAACAGGAAGCCAATGGGAGGCACACAAAGAGCGGATCTTTGGGCAGTGGGACCCACAGCAAGGAAAGCAGGAGCTGTGGGAGGGTGGGGACACAGATGTGGCTGACGGTGTGGCTAAACCTGGAGGCACCCAGAATCTGTCAAGACTACAGAGGGGTTGATGTGCACAATGCAAAACCCAAGACACTAGAAAAATGGATGCCCAGAAAATGTTGGAGAAGATGACGAAAATTAGAGAACCAGGACATTGCCTGCTAAAAGCTACCATCCCTAAAGCAGTTAAATGACAACTGAATCTGACAGGCAGGAAGTGAAGGCTGTGAGGACTAGCAAGACTGGGCTCCATCTCCTTAGACCCAGGAACCCATGGGCGCAACAAAAGCAGGGGGCCAAATGAGGGATTTTATGCTCCCCTTGAGTTAAATCAAGTCCCACTTAATGCTCCTCCTCCGGTTCAGGTGCACCCCCACCAAACCAACTGGATGTGTCACTTATGAGATCTCCAGCCTGCCACTCCCAAGTATAGGCCAAATTAAAGTAGATCTCTAAAAACTAGGGAAATTCAGCCAGGAGGACAGATGCAAGCTTGGGAACAGCCAAGCAAGGTATCTATGTTTGGGTACAAGAGAAAATGTTCATAAGCTTGATAGACAGACCCAATACACCCCTTCAGCCCCTTGGGTCAAAGAAATGAAATCCAACAACCCTGGGACTCATATGAGATGGGTCCTAAAATGTAATCTAGTCTGTAGCACTGCTATTAAAGTTGCAGGGACTGTGCCTTAGACACCCCACAGTCAGCTAAAACTGGCAGCCCAAGAGAAGCGGTCATCCAACAGGACCCAGATCATCCACACAAGCTGATCCAACTGCAAAACTTAGCTGCCCTGGAAATGGTAGCCAGAGGCCAACTAGCTTACCCAAGGCAGAAGCCTGAGGAAACAGCAGTTCTCCTCTCGTCAATCCAAAAGCTGGCCAGTCCACATAAGACTGAAACTTGTGGGTCAACATAGAGCTACAGTGACACTCTAAATTTCTTTTCCTATTTGTTATAATTCTCCTTTTGGGCCTTCTAGGACACAAATTTCTAAAGGGATGTTCCCACTGCATCTACCCCACACAGTCGGGAATCATGATAAGACTCCTGCTGTATCATACCAATTATAGATGTAACGAACACATCAAGAGACTTACAATCAAATCACCTGCTAGATTTAGGGCCCAGGAAATAACTAGGCTTACATCTATTGTGGCCCCAAGTTTCCACTTCATGAAATCTAGTTCAAGGTCCATGCTGGGGAGGAGAAAAAGGACGATGATGGCCTCATCAACAAAACCAAGCTCCCTCCAAATATAAAGGGGATGCTTCTTTTCACTGTGAGGCTGCCTGCTACAGCAAACAGAGAGGTAAGGAAAAGCTCAATCTAGCTAATTGTTGCGTATATATCGATGACAATAAAAAAGAAATCATCAAGATCATTACTGCCAAAACTTAGCCCATACCTGAATCCAAAAATGGAAAGGATAATCTCAAGATTCTCCCTCTGGAGGCTAGTTTTCATCTCTTAGAGGATTCAAAACCTTAATAAAAATGATTCTGGCTATCTTTAAAATCTGGCTCATTCTTCCTTGCCTCTTACCCCTGCTTCTCAGAAGCATTCAGTCTGCCAGAGGGAACCTAGTAGACGGACACACCACCACATGACCAACAGCTCTAGCCAAGTACTAAGCTCTGGCCAGTAGGATGGAGGGCAGTGGTGATGGTGGTGGTGATGGCGATGCTCTGTATTAAAAACTCATTATAGAAAGCATAAAAGGGAGCAACGAACCAAAACTTATAAAGGAAACCAAGCTTCCTCAACTTTAAACATTTCTTCCTTAAACTACTCCCTCTCTATGGCTGTTGTATGCTAAATATTATTCTGTTTTTAAAAAGAAGGCAGCTTTGCCTCAGTGACAATATGAATGGTGCAGAAGGACATTAGGCCAAGTGGGACATCCCAGGCACCAAGGGCCAGGTGCTGCATGATCTCACTTACACCTAGAACCTCAAAAGTTCAAATTAACAGAAGCAAAGAGAAGAACGGGAGTTGCTGATTAAATGGTACAAAATTTCAGTGTGCTGTGTAAATAAAGCCTGATGATTTAATGTACCAAATAGGGGCTTTAGTTAATATTACTGTAGTATATTTCAGCTTTTTATTTTTTATTTTTATATTTATTTATTTATTTTGGCAGAACCAGGGATAGAACTCAGGCCCTTGCTCTTGCCAGAGAAGCATTTATTCTAGTGAGCCATCTCCCTGGTCCATTACTTACAACTTTCTAAGATTATCTTAAATGTTCTTAGTACATGGAACACAATGGTAAACCTGTGAGTGATAGATGCACTACCTTTTGGTAATCATTTCAGAATGTATATGTATATCAACATTATTTTCTTCTGCCAATTATACCTCAAAAAAGCTGAAAAGTAGAGAAGTTGGAATGCTTTCCAACCTATTTATTGAGTTTAGTATAACACTAATCTAAACTGTGACAAAGATTTTTAAGAAATAGGGGCTGGGGAGATAGCTCAGTGATCTAATTGCCTGCCTGGTAAGTTCAAGGATATGGGTTTAATCCCCAGCACTGCATGCTATACTGGTCCTGGGTGCCGAGTCAGCCACCAAAACCAGGCATGGTGGTGTGACCCTGTAATCCCAGTGCTGGGGAGGCTAAGACAGGAGGATCACTTCAAGTCCAAGCTGTATAGCAAGACCCTGTATCAAGAGATA